GATGCTGCCTAATGCAACCGCCTCAGGCTGTCATATTAAAGGGATGGCCCTGCCTAGGATTCCTGGTAAAGTACATGAACCCATCGCACTTGAAACCGCTGTTCCAAAAATAATGAGGGTGGGTGCTGCGGCTGTCGACGGTTGGCAATCATGGTCAATATCAAACAAAATATATAGCAAGTCAAATACGTCTGTTTTTAGTTGACTGAACACTTGCATTGAGTGTATAACATTATGCTGCTCATACGTCAATAAACAGACATATTTAACTTGTTATTGGAGTGTCGGTGTATATATATTTTGTTTGCTTAGGATTCCTCAAAAGCAGTGTAAGTCCCCGTGTGAATGGGGCCTAACACCCCAAGTGCACCAAAGTTAGAAAGGACAATTTATTTATATGTGTGTGACTACCAGAGTTGGTCAATTAAATCACTATTAATATCACAATCTATTACATTTATGTACAGCATAACATTTTTTTTTTAAATCATCAGCTGCAAATCAAAATATAAAATACAATTTTATTTCTACATAAAGCATAAAAATGCTTAAAATCTTTTAAGCGGGTATGCCAGACCTACAATAAAGTTTCACAAATCCTATGTAAGGTTTAGCTCAGAACGGGTAGAATTGTTGTATATCAAGAAAAGGGAAGTGTCTCTCAAAGGGTTAGTTCACACATGGACATGGATAGTGAGTAAATATACTCTGTATAACACTTACAGGTATGTTTCACTTTCAGTATCTTTTTTTTTTTATTCGGAATTTTATTGACAATTTTGGAGAAATAGTTTTTTTGTATCATTACGTATTTGCAGAGCCGTTCAGCAAAATTTTGCTTCAAATTTTATACCATATTGAGACAATTGACATTTTGATAAATCTGACCTTGCAACATATATCTTTCCATACAAAATTAAATCATGTAGATGCTGCCAAACGTAGAACCTTTATGAAATGGTTGAACATCATAATAACCAAGGCTGCTAGTACGTGCATTGATTTGCTCACTTCTAGCTGTCACATTGAATGTGGCTCATGAGCTGATGAAGTCAGGGACATCTGAGATAAAGGCTTTCATCTAAGCTTTTAGTGCTGCTAAACAATTCAGGAGCAATAGTTACATCAAATGGTTCTTTGTTACAATTGATTGTTCTTATGTGCGTGTGTGCATATGAGTCACTGTGTGGTCTTAGTTTTTAGGAGTACCTGTACCCCTGTATGTTACAGTCTCTTAAGGTGCCCATACACTGTACGATTCTCGTACGAGAATCGTGGGAAATCCCGCGATCGTACGAGAATTGTACAGTGTATGGAAGGCGTGCGACCGTTTCTACTGTACGGTCGCACGTCTTCCATCGAACAAGCAGGCTGGAAAACCCGCCGGGAATCGTACGATTCTCGGTGAGTTAGTGGCCTGCTTGTTCGACAACTGACGAACGGGCCGCACGCGCACACTGCCCGTTTGCCATCCTTGCAAGCCCGCCCCTCATTGCAGTCATTGCAAGCCCGCCCCTCAAGGGGGCGGGCTTGCGATGATCGCAAGTGCGATCTGCCTGTCCAAGATGGGCAGATCCTACGTTTTTTTAAGTACTTTACAACCCTCGCAAGACAAAAGTCTTGCGAGGGTTGTAACGTGTATGGGCACCTTTAGGAAGGTATCTGATTAATTTTTGAATGAATCAATACTCTCTGCTGCTAACACTGCTTGTGGCAGAGAGTTCCAAAATGTAACCTCTGACTGAAAAGAATCCTCAACACCCTGTGTGGTTAAATATTTTCTCCACCAATTTTAGGTGGATGCCTCTAGTCTGAGTTAGGGAGTTTACATTAAAATGTTTATTGCTGATGTTGCCATCACCACAAAACATTTTGTGCATCAAAATCATGTCCCCTCTTAATCTTCTTACTTCCAGCGTGAACAAATTTAAATTTAGCACCTTTGTCTCATAGCTTTGATCCTCCATCCCCTTAAATAGTTTAATTGCCCTTCTCTGGACTTTCTCCAGCTCCAGGACATTTCTGTGGACTGCTGACCAAAACTGAGCCGCATACTCAAGATGTAGCCGAACCAGTGATCTATAAAGTGGCAAAATTATTGATTTGTCTCTACAATACATTCCCTTTTTAATGCATGGCAGTACTCTGCTAGCTTTGTTTGCCGCAGCCTGGCATTGCGTGCTATTATTCAATTTGTGGTCTACCATGACCACCAGATCTTTTTCCATTTCTGACTTCCCTGGTGGAGTACCTATTAATGTGTATTCTGCTTGCCTATTTTTAACCCCAAAATGCATTGCTTTACATTTTTCACCATTGAACCTCATCTGCTATATAGTTGCCCACTCCCCTATTTTATCCAGGTCTCCCTGCCATGTTATAATGTCTAATCCCGTGTCTATTACCCTCCCAATTTTAGTATCATCTGCAAACACAGAAACAGGGGCGGAACTACTGCCGGTGCAGTCGGTGCGATTGCACTGGGGCCTGTGGCTGTGGGGGGGGCCCAGTGAGGTCCGGTTTAAGCGCCCCCTTGGTGGAATACGGGGCAGTGCAGGGTCGCTGGGGCCCCGCACTGTCAACGGGCTTCTCTGCAAGGGAGCGAAGTCCTGTGACTCGCCGCTCCTCTCCCGGCCGCGTCCCTAGTAACAAGCGGGGGGAGAGGAGAAGTGTGTGTGTCACATGCCCCGCCCCTGCACACCGCCTGGCTGGGATGCTGTGAGGCTCTGGCTGGGTGAGTCCAAATGGGGAGAGGGGTGAGGGGAGGGGGGGGCGGTGTAGGGTTGTGTGCTGTCATTTCTTTTTATTGTACTGTTAAACACTGTGTGCTGTTATGTAGTTTAATTAGAAAAATGGATTAACATTACACTGTAATGTTGCCTATTATAATCTATTTCTCTGATTAAATTATTACAGACAGGGCCGCTGTTCTATCAAAGTTTGTGTCTAGGTTGGAATGTGTGACCGGTCACACATTTTAACGTAATCCCGCCCAGTTTTTCCGGCGGTGGAATGTGTGCTCGGTCACACATTTTAACGTAATCCCGCCCACTTTTTCAGTGGTGGAATATGTGACCGGCAAAATCTGAAGAATTCCAACGCTTTGTCAGCTGTTCCAGGGCATATCGGCATCGCAAATTGTATATGCAGGAGAACCGATCTGCCCTTGAACAGCTGAACGGTCCTCAAATGTCGCTTCTGTCTGACTTTGTGAGTGCGGTGGAATGTGAGATTACGTCACTGGTCACACATTCTAACGTAGTCACAAACTTTGATAAAACACCGCCACCAGGCTGGTATGGCCGGTACCTATGTGGGGGGTCTGGGCAGCCTGTGGGGCCCCTCACATGGGTATCAGCTGTACCAGGGGCGGCATGGCAGAGGTGACACGGGAGTGGGTGGAGCAGGCTGGGCCCCAGCAGCAGCAGGTAAGAGGAGTTAAGAGGAGGTACAGGGAAAGGGACTCCAGCGACCAGCCCACCTGAGACCCTGCAGAGCCCACCATAGAGACTCTCAGGTGGGCTATGCAGGATCTATGGTGTGCTCTGCAGGGTCTTCTCCCTGTCATTTGTCATTATTCTCCGTTTTCATCTTTTATCCCGTTCTGCTCTTTTCTTACCTTTTTACTGTTTATATATTGGAAGAATTTTTTTGGGGGGGTTCTTCTTACAGACTGTGGCGATATGCTTTTCGTAATCTATTTTAGCTGCCAGGATTTAATGTTTACATCTATTATTTCATTCCTTGTAGCTCTGGAATGCCAATGCAGTCCCCTCCATCTTGTATTTTATAAATGGCACGCTCTTGTCCTTGATGTGTTGTCTAACCATTTTATTTAGCCATGCAGGCTTAGCTCTTGATCTTTTTTTTTTTTTGTTACCCAACAAAATGCACTTGGTAATAGCGTTATGTAATGTATTCTTAAAACAATCCCACTTCTCATCAGTGTTTATTGTGGGAATTAATTTGTCCCATTTAGTGTCATACAGTAGGAGAAGTAGCTTATCGAAGTTTGCTTTTTTGAAATTTAGCGTTCTTGTCAAACCAACACACTTCTCTTTTCTGTACCCAACATTAAAACTAATCACCCTGTGATCACTATTACCCAATCAATCCCTAATTTCTATGTATTCAACTAGGTCTGCGTTATTGGAAAATAATAAATGTAGTATAGCGTTCTTTCTGGTTGGCACATCAACCATCTGATCCATGAAATTGTCCTGCAACAGGTTTAGGAAACGGCCGGATAATTGAAGTCACACATTATAAAAGCATTTCCCTGCTTCCTAGCTATTTCTATTTGGGAATGTAGGTGAGCCTCCTCCTCATCCCTTATGTTTGGAGGGTTATAACACAAACCCATAGTTAGTTTACAACTAGCTTCAGACTTATCTAGTTCTAGCCACAAAGACTCAACACCATCACAAATCTCTGTTATACTATACTATACTCAAACAAAGTACACCACAAGCGCCAGCAGCATGTGTCAAGGATAAAAGGAGGGGAGGGAATCTTCAATGTTCAATGTATTACACTTTCGAGGCTGCTCTCACTGGTTTAGGGAAAACACAAAAGCTGAAATACAAAACACAGAGAGCGCCTTCATCGTGTAAAAACGTTTAATAAAACAGATTAAGAACAGCTGAAAAGGTACTCACAAAAGTGGAGCCTCCTTCATCAGAACCAATGTTGGTTCTGATGAAGGAAGCGTGACCTCAGAAACGTGTCAACCAGGAAGGACTGATAGCCGGCAGGTCCAGTCTGTTACATATGATCTTTCATGCCTGCTTAAACTCCACTTTTGTGAGTACCTTTTCAGCTGTTCTTAATCTGTTTTATTACATTTTTTACACGATGGAGGCGCTCGCTGTGTTTTGTATTTATACTATACTATGCTACACTATTTAAATATGGCATTTTTAATGCATTGGTTTGCAAATGTTTCGATTGTCATTGTAAATCCTATAATCTACAGGTGTTTATGTCTTTCATTGTTTTAGATTCTGGTTGTGATTCTGGTACAGAACCTGAACGTGAACAGGATCAGCATCATCCAGAAGCCATTCAGGGAAACCTATTGTCCATACAGCCAGAAAGGATCCGTTGTGGGGTTTGTGCATATTCTCTAGTTTTGCTATGTAAAGCAGTTAGAAATATTCTGATATTAGGTTATATGTACTTGAATTACTGTGCATATGCTTGTGATACAGGCTACTCCTATGTTACTAACAGACACTTCACTTGTGGATAAGGGAAGGCTGCTATTTGTCATACATATGCTTTACACTGCTTGTTTTCATTGTATGGTGCCTGTGCACTGCTGTAGCCACCCCAACCCCTTTTCATGCATCTATGATGACAGGGATCTAACTGAGAAAATGCTGTTTTCAAAAGGTTTTGAGTCTGTTGAGAGCTTTTATAGATATGTAGGGAGCGTGCCTTATGCTAGCCATACACTGTTATATACAGTAACAGCATAGATGGATGAATCTACCACCATGTCCTTTGTATCTGACAGCGGCAGGCTGAATATGCAAACTGTGATGGCAGCTGATTGTCTGCCGTCACTGTCTGCCTGGCTGATTGAAGGATGCTAAATGGAAGGGTGCCACCGTGCCAACAGGGGCACCCGTTGTGCGAAATTCTTGATGACCTGGCCAAAATCCGCACAGTGTATGGCCAGCTTTAGGCTAGAGTGTCCCTATCCACATTAAGTGTTTTTACATCTGGGCTGTAGCCAGCCTGAGCTTTGTTTTATGTTTTCTGTGTTCATTGGGTTTCTCCTAAGCCCAGGACATTGATTGCTTCTGTCTGCTGCTGCTGAGTGTTTTCCAATAGTTAGAGTGAGAAGATGCAATCGGGGAAATTTATCATAGCAATTGCGAGTGTTGGAACTTGCACTGAATATATTTGACGCACTTTACACCAGATTTATGTTGCTAGTGTAATGTTGTTCATAAATGAGGTTAAATAGACTCCAGGAAAGAAGACGCGTAACTCCAGGCAAAAAGCTTAACTGTCACTTCATGAAGAAGTGGCCATTGGGATGTCTTAAGTTGCGATTGTTTTGTTAGGTGATGCTCCAGTCTCAGACAGCGCACAACAAGTGCAGATGAAAATAGGCGCAAAACACATGCAATTGGAAAAGTAGTGCAAGCTAATGTCAAAACAGGGATGTGAGCTGGTGAAGTGGATAAATATCTGCAGTGACCTTCTAGAAGGGTCTGTCCCTCCCAGGTCTTGCCTAGAGAGGATGAGGATATTGCTGTAAGGGGGGCCCTTGTCTCCCAGACTGCTGCCCAATGAGGATCTTAGTGTAAAGGTCCTTGCCTCCAAAACCATTGCCTGAGGAGATGCCATAGTTAAGAAGGATTTTGTTCTTCTTAGTGCCATCTGGGCCTAAAGAGAATGAAACTTACCTGTGGAAGAGATCCAAGAAACTGACCACACCCAGACGCAGACTGTTTGCATCCTGGTCAACTGTCCACAGGTAATCAAAGCTGTACAATTTGGGCAGTGGTAGCAGTCATTGTATTGTACCACACCTCCTGCCTGCAGGAGATCAAATAAATCTCACGGAGGAATTCATACACTTTGGCTAGTTTATCCTAGCCAAAGTGTATATCCGTTTTAAAGAGAGTATGGAACAGTTTTAACCCCCATCAGTTTGTATTACTGTGTTCCATTGGGGGGATTTTCCTTACTTCCTGTCTCAGTGATCACATTGTCAGGATGCAAGACGAGAGCTCCACTAACCTTCTCACTCCATACAGATAAAATGTGTGTAATTGTGTCCCTGTTAGAAATACTTCCCAATTTTGTCACTGTGACAGGAAGTGAGGAAATATCATGAAATAATATGACAGGGGGTTTAATTATTTCCTACTTTATGCAAAACATTTTTTGGGCTAGAGATAACTTCAAAATAAAGTTGTTGTCTTCATACAGCCATTTTATATATCCCATGTTGATTAAATTCTGTGTTTTTTTTAAGGTGAAGACAGAACTATATTTAATATTTAAGTGCAAACTTGACAGTGAGATTAAAAATGAGGTTCACTTTACTCCACTGAATGGCCCGTCTGTAAAGTCATCCACCACATTACAAAATGAATACATCTTATCAGTGGATGCTCCAGGTAAGACTTGTCACATATGGCCAGGTTAATGCATCAGATATTTATGATAATCGGGCAATCTAGGGGTTACCAGAAAAATGCAAGGGGCATTTCCAAGCAAAAAAAATTAGCTAAACCTTTTACATAAAAATGTTCACAAAAGATGGAGGTATACCTTACATTTGAAAGAAAATATGACTTCAGAAAGAGTTCTTGACAGTGAAATCTGTGAAAATGTGGAAAGATCTTCAAAAGAGTCTGGTTCTAGCAGATATGCTGTAGATCAGGGGTAGACAACCTTGACACTCTGAAACTAAAAAATCCCACCATGCCTTTGGGAGCCATGCTTGTGGCTGGCAGGGAAGGAAAGGGGAGGGACGAGCGAGCACGGGGGTGCGGGCAGGGACCTTATTCACTCCAGGGTACCCCTTTAATAAATGGGAGACCAGATGCGTCCCCCCTTGTGAATCAGTTAGGGGTACTTATACCTCTACCCATTCACTAAAGGGTTAAATATAATTTTTTTAAAGAGCCAAGAATAATTGAAAAAAAAAACCAAAAGACACAGTGCCTTCTGGGGAACTCGGCAGCCGAACAGCCCGCCAAACACCCTGACAGTTCTTGTCCGGCGAACACACGAACTGCAGATGTTCGAGTCCAACTCTTGCTCGAATTGAACATCAAGCCCATCCCTACTAATAAGAACTTCATGTTCTCCCCTTGGAATGATCAGAAGAGCTGTTGAGATTTGAAATATATCTTTTGAACATCTGTTCCACATCCTCCGCTCACATCAATACCTTATTACACATACAACACTGTATTACATCTAAATATACACTGTCTGGCCAAAAAAAATTCACCACCTGGATTTAGCTAAGCAAATAGGTCAGAGCCTTCCATTGGATGAATACTAGGTTCAGCAACGTTATGTCCCCAAAAAATGAGGTCAGCTGCTCAACAGATTATACAGAATGACCAGGTTTTTCCATCAATTAATGTTTTCTTCCTTGATGGCACGGGCATATTCCAAATGAAAATGCCAGGATTCACTGGGCTCAAATTGTGAAAGAGTGGTTCAGGGAGCATGAGACATTAGAAAAAATGGTACATGCATGAATCTATAACCGGCCTTTATAGCAGGGCGCACATTGGGAAGGCTTACAACAATACAAAACACAAAAATTCCACAGCCTCAGCCTGCCAGCCAGCCTGCAACCAAACAAGTAGCCTTGTCAACCATGAGACATTAGAAAAAATGGTACATGCATGAATCTATAACCGGCCTTTATAGCAGGGCGCACATCGGGAATGCTTACAACAATACAAAACACAAAAATTCCCCAGCCAGCCTGCAACCAAACAAGTAGGCCTGTCAACAGTATGCGTTAAAATCAGAGGTTTTAGTTGCACAAACTTTTGGCCAAAAATATGTAGAAGCCACACCGCCGCGCCAAGGCACCACTGCAAAGTGTGGTCCTGTTGTGGTGTGTTGACAGGGCTACTTGCTTGGTTGCAGGCTGGCTGGCAGGCTGGGGCTGGGGAATTTTTGTGTTTTGTATTATAGCATGAGACATTACTTTCACACATGGCTTGGCCACCACAGAGCCCAGACCTTAATCTCATTGAGAATCTTTGAGATGTGCTGGAGAAGACGTAACGCAGTGGTCCGACTCTCCGATCATCACTACAAGATCTTGGTGAAAAATTAAAACTATGTTACTATGAGGTAACCTTTTTACCATAGTTCTCTTTAAGGTCACGGGAGGACATATACTAACATCTTCCCCTGACCTAAAACTCAGTATATAGCAGGCTATTGCCCGCTATATGCTGAGAGCGCCGCAACCAGGATTAAACCCAACAATACTGTCGAGGTCCACCCCGCTGGCTGATTGACAGCAGGCTCTGCCTATCTAGAGGCAGAGCCAGCTATGCCCGCCCCCTCCCGAGGCCTATCCTCCAGTCAGCGCTGGAGGATCGGAGAGGGGAAGGGAGGAATGCCTGCGGGGAGCCATGACTGACAGTCACTGCTCTCTGCAGGGAGATAATCGGCAAATGAGCGTGTATCTCTTTTTGGCCACGCAGTGTACACCAAATTACACAGTATTTTCCTAAAATGTATGTCAAGCGGAAAAAAAATTATTCGTTTTGGATAGCATGGAGAAGGGTTAGCACCCTTGTCAAGTTTTTACTGCTATCCAGGGCTCCGTTTGAGAGATTTTTTCCTCACTTCCTGTCCTACTTACCAAAATTACCAGATAGGAAGTGAGAGGAACGCTCAACAGCAACAAGTAATTCTTCTTCCCCATTCTACCTAAAACTAGAAAAAAAATGTTTGGCTTGACAAACACTTTAACACTGTAAGTTATTACTTATGGACAAATATTATTGAAATGTAAGTGGGAGAATATATATAATTTTGCAATAATAATAATATTTTTCATACAAAACGTTTATATTTCCTTGGTTTTAACACGCTTTTGTTTCTGTCCTGCACAGACCTGCCTTCTGGGCCGGTATTCCTAAAGGTTTTTGCTGGAGACCTACTATTATGTGATGCTAAAGTCACTTATTTCACAGATATGGAAGAAATCTCCCAGCTGCTTGATAGTGCAACTAATCCTGTAGAATTTATGTGTCAGGTAAGCTGTTAAATCATTTACCCAAAAAATCTCTGTCAGGTTTATTTAACATTCAACACGGAAGTGCAAAGTACAGTGATTGTGTACACATTGCTGAAGCCTACTGCAACTGAATGACTGGGGTCATTATGGCGAAATTCATTTAGTCACGAAATTACTGATTTCGCTATCATGAAAACTCTTGCTTTGCTGCGGCAGAAACATTCAATTTTGACCATCCTACTGCTAAAACACATTTCTCATATTGTATTTCATTGTTATTTGTGTGCTATTACATTCATTTTTTTTATTTTGTTCAATGTCTATTTTTTCTGTAAAAAAATTTGAAATAAGGAGGCTAATGAGAGGCTAGATTTTGGTACAAGAACAGGTCCATTATAGTTCAAAGAAGCTTTTCTACCCCCCAAGTTTCATTTAAATCCAACACACCTAAGCTGTATCAAATTACTTTAAAGGAGAACTTTAAGGCAATGTGTTAGTTGGTTTTCCCGTTGATGACAAAAAATTAAGTAATGGCATTTTTTTTTATGATCTATTCTTTTTATTGGCTTTTTATACCAGGCATTTAAAATAATACCCTACAACAGGGAGGTACTTGATAAATTGCTGACGGAATCATTGAAAAACAACATTCCAGCATCTGGACTGCACCTCTTTGGTATTAATCAGATTGAAGAAGAAAATACAATTGCAAGTAAGTGAATGTATACCTTAGCATGCAGGTGTATCTTTTTGAATCTTGGCACAAGTAACATATATAGCAAAGCTGTATCTTTGCCAGGAATTAAAGCCAACCAGTTCTGAGACTGTGCACACATAATCTGATTAAGCAGTAAAAAAAACAAAATTTAAAACAAGCCCTCTTGTAGCTAAAACTGGCATCTGTGGCTATAGGCATTGTGAAGAAATTCGTCTTCAAAGTTCACAACAGAGGTGTGGCAAACACTACTTCTTTCCCTTTTATTTTATGTGGAGAGCAGAATCTTGGCAGCCTTCCAACCCTCTAATGTAAACAAATTCTAAAGCCCCTTTCACACTGGAACCATCAGTCCCAATCAGAAGGGGATCCGTGCACCTTACAGGTTCTCTTTAATATAGTCATACATTGGCACTGTAGTTATGTCACTACGGACGATTGCAACCATATTGGATGAGTGCATGCATGTCGGTGCCAAGATCATAATAAAGCACAATATATGGATGAACAATGAGTCAAATTACTTGGAACAATTAACCGTATCATTGTTAAACTAGTGGACTGCAGGTTGACCACCCGATCACTACTTGTAAGCAAGAAAAGCTAGGTCATGGTGCACCTGAGCGGACCTGTCTATGTGAGTTATCCAGCTTGATCTGCTGCAAGTTCCAACTCATCTCTAGCCATAACAGTGAATGGTTACAGTCATAAATGTCATAAGGAAAGTGGTGAGAATGTTCCTAAGGTCTTGCTCAGATTGGACTTCATCAAAATAACTAGACTAATTTAACTGGTTTGGAAAGCACAAAGAACGCAGCATTGTTTTTCCGCAGAGGTCAACAAATAAAAAGCATATCATCTGTAAGTACTAGTACAACAGCTAAAGTGCGCTTTCATTCACACCAGATGTCCTGGACTTGGGACAAAACTAAGAGCCAATTCCAAGACAAATAGAAGCTTCAAAATCCCCTGGAATAATATTTAAATTGAAAACAAAACAAAACCAGTTTTCTGTCTGAAAAATAAGTGGTGTTTTAAAATTCATTTTAAAAGTAACTGCAATGCAAGTAGAATGACCTAATGATGCAATGTATAATGTGCAATGTACAAGTTATTACACAGTTACAGTACAAATGTAAAGCCAATATCGCATTATGATTTAGGTGCATCCAGAAGGAATCGGCTAAATTCAACTTTTGCTATATTGCCTAATGTCCTTCAAATCTTTTTTTAGATCAGCGAGAAGAAGAATTGCCCACTCTTCTTCACTTTTCTGCAAAATATGGGCTTAAAAACCTGACAGCCCTCCTGCTCACCTGTCCCGGAGCTTTACAAGCTTATAGTGTGTCAAATAAGCATGGAGACTTTCCAAACAACATTGCAGAAAAACACGGTTTTAAGGATCTGCGGCAGTTTATCGATGAATATGTGGTGAGTCTATTGTAAATGTATTCCACTTCCCCACCACCCAGATCCACACCTGCACATTCACCAGCAAATGTCAACAATAACTAGTATTTGTAACAACTGCATACTGAAGACTTCCCTCCTCCACCTTGTGGTGTCTATAGGGATTGGCAATTGGTTGCTTATGCCCCAAATGCTGCATTGTGGAGACACAGGTCATATGTAACAGTTTTCTAAATAGTTGGAGGTACCAGGGTCTTTTCAAGGTGGCAGAGGGGATCGAGGTAGCAGGATAGTGATGTTAAAGGTGAGTATTGACTACGGAGGAAGAGGGGGTGTGTTGTGGAGTTGTTCTTTTGGCATGTTTTCTATAAAGGCTGAGTTTACATTTCTGACCATGTTTCACGATACACCCATATTAAATGTGTACCGTATATACTCGAGTATAAGCCGAGATTTTCAGCCCATTTTTTTTGCTGAAAAGTGCCCCCCTCGTCTTATACTCGAGTCAGCGTCATTTCTTCTTACTTACTTCGCCGAGCGTCGCGTCTCTGCTGCTCCGGTGGGCGGCGCTCCGAGCGGGGTCATTTGGCAGTCTCCGGGAAACATGATCACAAACACCCACACCACCCTCCTGCCCCCCTTCCCTCCTCATTTAACTTGAATTGCTAGATTTTTATCTATGTAGGCTTGTTTACATTTGTCAATTGCTGCTGTGCGTGGTTCTGCCCACACAGCAGCTTCATCCACTCACAGATCCTTTGACAAGATCTGTGAATGGAGAAACTATAATTGCCCTCAGCCAACGTGGCAAGGGGACTTGTACTACTCAATGGAATACAAGTGCTGTGACGTCCCTACACTTGTATTCCATTGACACTTTCTGGATGGGGCATGGATGGGAGGAAGAGTCTGTAGGAGCCAAAGCATTGCACCCTCAATCCACCAATCGTGATTGCAATGCTTTATTGGCGCCTATGCCAAAAAAAAAAAAGAATAAATGCACATTTTTTTTCTTTTATAAAGAAGTGTGCATTTATTCTTTTTTAAAAGTTGGACTTTTTCCTATAACAGCTTAAAAGCAAAATTACTTTTACTTTGTAATGCACATTAAATGAATAACGTTTGTCACTGCATCCCATACGTCTTTTTCTTTTCACCAAGGAAACTGCTGATATGTTAAAGACACACATTAAGGAAGAACTAATGCAAGGAGATGATGATGACCCCCTATATGAGCCCATGGTAAACCTGTCCACCAATATACTGATGAAATGTTCGCTTCACCCAGGCTCTGATGAAGACCTGTATGAAACTATGGTGGGGTTTGTGCCTCAGTACGAGTCAGATGACATATGTGAGTATTGCTTTAGCCAACATTATGAGATCCCTTCATGTAGTTTCCTGGAAGCAAGCAATGTGATTGTTTTGGCTATTATACAGTAAGAATGGCATTACAGAAGCAAATATTATGGTCATTCATCACTATGCAAACAAGTGATAAAGGTTCCCGTGTTGTGTTCTGAACCTGAGCCATGCCGTGCATTTTATTTTCATACTTCCTTATACAGACATTCTTTAGCATCTAACCATTGAAACAGAAGTGGTCAGAAATAAAGCTCTTTATGTTCAAGGCAGTCAAGTCAATATCACTTGTCACTGGATAATACAGTGCAGAAAACACCATAAGCATTAAAGTGATATTAAAGAAAGAAAGTTTTTAAGCTTTTTCAAATGCTGATGAACTCACTTACAATGGATGCTGCTCCTCGATGTTTAAAAGTTTTGGTTTCCTGCAGAATCAGCTGGTCCCCTGAGCACTGGTCCTGATATCCTGTTTTAGGGTGGCTCTTTTCACTTGCAGGGTCCTGTGGAGTCACCCTTACCCCTACTCGTTCATTAAAGGGGAAAAATTAAATGTAAATAAACAAACCACACTTTTAGAAAAAAATCCTTTAATTGAAAAAAAAAAAAATGAAGAGTCACTTTGCTGCAACGAAAATACATCAACAAACGAAAAAATCAGAATCCCGAAACATATTGATTTTCGGACTCAAATCCCGAAAAACTAAATAACGCAAAATCTGAATCAAAACAAAACAAAACACATTTTTTGCCGGTGCACATGTCTAATAGATACTAAACATAATTACATAGTTACATAGTTAGTCAGGCTGAAAAAAGACACAGGTCCATCGAGTTCAACCTATTGAGATACGGAGAAAAAAATAAAATAGAAAGAGAAAAGCCTAAACAGAACGCTATGCCCACAATTACCCCCTGTTGATCCAGAGGAAGGCAACAAAAAAACCCCTATAAAGCATGGTTTAATTTGATCCAACAGGGGAAAATAATTCCTTCCTGATCCCATAAGGCAATCGGACATTCCCTGGATCAACAATCCCTGATACCTAATATACCTATAAGAACTCAATATCCAGTAATATTCTGTGCATTTAAGAATACATCCAGATGTTTTTTAAAACAATTAACCGAGCTAGCTAGAACTAGCTCCTGGGAGAGTCTATTCCACATTTTCACAGCTCTGACTGTGAAGAATCCTTTCCGTATGCAAAGGTTAGACCTCTTTTCTTCCCGACGCAAAGAGTGCCCCCTTGTCCTTTGCACTGACCCTAAAGTGAATAATTTGGCACCAAGCTCTTTATATGGACCATTTATGTATTTATACATTGTGATCATGTCCCCCCTTAATCGCCTCTTCTCCAGAGAGAACAAATTCAGGTCAGCTAATCGTTCCTCATAGCTGAGCTCCCCCATGCCTCTTTGTGAACTGGTGCCCAAAAACTGAACTGCATATTCCAGATGAGGTCTTACTAATGGTTTGTACAGGGGCAGGATTATATCTCTATCTCTGGAGTCCATACCCCTCTTAATACAAGAAAGTATTTTGCTTGCTTTAGAAACTGCAGCTTGACATCGCATGCTAGTGTCAAGCCATAAAATTGCGTTCGCCCGTGGAGCCGCAAAATACTTCATTACCCCTAATTTCCCATAGGGGACACTATAAACACGTTTACCGCTCATCACCATATGTAACATGTGTAGCACAATTTTCGTTTTTTGCACGTAGGCGCATTGACGCATGTTTGCGTATGTGTGTGGGGGGCGGGGGACTTTAATTTATTTTTTCTAAGAGCCAGAGAATGTAAACAGTGACACCGGAAGTTATGTAATACACATCACTTCTGATTCCAGTGAACGGAGGAGAGATCATCGGCTGGAACCGGGCGCCACACGGGGGACAGTGGAGCCCGGGGCAGCCGGCAGAGGGGGTGGGGGCAGCACATGCCGGCAATCGGTACAAACAACAGCCGCCGGATTGCATGTACGTAGACAGCCATCGCTGGCTGTTAAAAATGACACCAAGAACACGGCTGCAGCAGCAGCAGCCGTGTTCTTGTTTTAACCACTTCTGTGGGCTGCTGTATATATACGTGTTGTGACCTGGAAGTGGTTAACACTATGGATGAACAAAGTGATTTCAGCAAATTACATTCACTACAAAATTACTGATTTCACTGTCTGTAAAATTTGGCTATAATGATAACTCTGAAGAGAAAAGACATCCATCCTCCTAGGACACTAGCTAAAGACTATGGATGTGTGAGGCGCTATATCTGGCTCACCAATGGCATTTTTGTTAAGAAAATAGATGAATGCAGTGTATTTTCTTGTCTCACACCATTTATACACAGGTGTGAAAAAAAGTATGTTCCTCTTAGTGTAGGTAGGAGATGTATAAATATATAGAACATGAAGTGTTAACCAGAGGAACTATTGCGTGGGAAACCGTTTCCTAATTTCATATTTTGTGCAAGAAGACAGTTAAAAATTATTTGACTTCAGAGTGGAGTTTCAACATTCTTTCCTAGTGTGAAACTTACATTTGATTTATGGATCGAGAGTCCATGTGATCTCTCTAATAAATGTGCCAAGATTAGTTTACTCAAGGTCTTCTTTTCTGTTAGATATACAAGGACTGTATTCCTATATTATGTGTACATAAGCTGAGGGAGTTTATTTCTCTCATTTTCAGTCTGGCAAATAGAGAGGGTGAATCAGAGAGACACACAAACAAAAAAAGACGGGATTGATCCAAAACTACAAAAATAACATTTGGGGTGTAAAAGTAAAACTAGTAATACCACCATTGGCTGGATTCCATACATGTTTGCCTACACTTGTCTTTACAATGCATGTCTGCCTACTTGTATGTTTGCCTACACATGGCTACACAATGCATGTCTGCCTACTTGCGTGTTTGCCTACACATGGCTACACAATGCATGTCTGCCTACTTGCGTGTTTGCCTACACTTGGCTACACAATGCATGTCTGCCTACTTGTATGTTTGTCTACACTTGGCTACACAATGCATGGCTGCCTACTTGTATGTTTGCCTACACATGGCTACACAATGCATGTCTGCCTACTTGTATGTTTGTCTACACTTGGCTACACAATGCATATCTGCCTACTTGCATGTCTGCCTACACTTGGCTACACAATGCATGTCTGCCTACTTGCATGTTTGTCTACACTTGGCTACACAATGCATGTCTGCCTACTTGCATGTTTGTCTACACTTTGCTACACAATGCATGTCTGCCTACACTTGGCTACACAATGCATGTCTGCCTACTTGCATGTTTGTCTACACTTGGCTACACAATGCATGTCTGCCTAC